TGACTGATCTAGCCGGCCTCGCTGATGTCCCGTACGGTGCTTATCCACGCGCAACGATCCGTGGCAGTAGACCTGGAGAGTTCGAGCCATTCTCTTCGCCAGCGTCGGAGACTGAATACCGAAGGTCCAAGAACCACTTTCATGTCCTGACGGACTGAGTCGAGCTAGGTTTTGAGCTGGTCCTCACTATGACGTTTCCAATTAGGTATCGCTTTCGCGGGTCGAGGGCAGAAACACTGAGCTCGTGAGGTTGACGGCGGAGAACGTGTCCAAACCACTTCAGTCGTCTTTCTTGAATTGCCTGGGATAGCTTCACGAAGTTGTCGCAGCGAGTGCGGACAGTCACATTTAAGACAAAGTTGGTGTACTTCACTCGAAGAATGGTTCTCAAGCAGTAGTGGTCAAATCCTTCCAGTTTCCGTTCATATTCCACGCGCATAGCCCAACATTCGCATCCGCATAGAAGAATGAACTGTACAATTGCACGCTACACGCAGACCTTTGTTGAGATAGAAATATCGCGTCAAGTCCATAGGCACTTTCGAAGGCTGGAGAAAAGTCATCGAGCTGTGTCAGCATAAATTGACTTTAAGTTATCGCCACGCCGCGAATCAGGTCCGCGTGACTCCTCGTGTTGACGTTAGGCCGACCATACGAGGTATGAGTAAGCGAACTCACCGGAGTCGACTGCTATAGCATCAAAATCAGAAGTAGTTTCACGGACCGCATGACAGCAGGCTTTTGGCAGTAGTCGTGATCCTCGAGGTGCTAATCGACATCCTATCTCCTCGCTGAAAAGCCGAGGAGCCTAGCGGAGCACGCGAAACGATTGAAGATGACATCTAGGACTGTCGAGAGAACTTGCGACCCGATAATTTTCAAGCGGCCATCTGTCCCCTTTCTTGAGATTTGACCTGGACCTTGTCTCCACTGCAGGCCTGTTGGCACGATGTCTGCTGCACAGAGTAGGCCGTTAGTAGACTTTATTGAACAGTCCCTGCAGGCTTCCGCAGAAAGTCGGCTCTCACATGGTGCCTTATTTATCTTCATTTTCTTATTCCATCTTCAACATTCCCTATAATTTTCGGGCTATGTGCACACAGTTATGCTCGGGTGTCTTCTATGTGCGGAAAATTAGGCAACGCTTCCTTTTGCCAGCCGGCGCACTTAACGTTGTTTTACATGCAATTAATTTTGACGTACCAGTCTCATGGTATGTTCCAAAGCTTTTTATTCATCAGTTTGGAGAATCGCTAACGGAGAGGGGGGTATCAAAATAGCTTTGTCGTAGTGGCATTCTTTTTTCAAATGTTATGACAAGTACGCATCACTTACCAAAAGGTCAATGCCTGTGTCAAGACATATGAATGTGAATGCCAGCTCTTGTTCTGCGGCGTTTATTTTGACCATTCGCAATCTGCACTTCGGTTCATACGTTGACTAGTTTTATATTTACCTCGCCCGGTTTGTCATCTCTTCTGCTTCTGAAGATTATTCTACAAATTTGCAGTTTTCCGACAATCAACCGCACTGGTTTATAGAAAATGTCAGTCTTGAAAAGCTATGGTGTAGCTTCTATTTATAAGGCAGTAGTGACTGTTTTTCCCTCGTCTTAGATTTTATTTTCGTCAGAAGGGACCATGTACAGGCGCTGAGTACTGCTGGATGAGGAAGGCGCCCGTAAAAATGGCTTTTCTGTGTCTCTCCTCTCCAACAGCGAGGTTCCTACATTGCTGCCAATTTGGATTGTAGTTTTTCCAGTCTTTTATAATTGACGCCTTTTTCTCTCCCTCCCCCCTGCCCCTTTGCTAGGCTGTGAA